TGGTTGTTTATTTATGTCCCTTCTTATGTGTCGTTTAAGAGATGAGCTGGAAATCTAGATGAAACAGCACATCTGAATGCTGCAAGGCTTGTGGTTAAACTACAGAGATGATGGGGATAAAGAACAGAAGGGGAACTGAGCGCTGTCCTTGCATGTTAGAGACAGCTGACTTGCCCAAAGGCAATTTCCACGGAGGCCAGGAAAGACGGTGAGCCTGGGACTAGCTGTTTTGCCAAGAAGGCCAAGGGACGAGTCCCTGCAGCACCTCACACCAGGGGCCCTACCACCACCACTCAAGTATGGGGAGACCCAGACACAGCCCCGAGCGAGGGTCGTCTAGCTCAGGGAGCTTTAGCAAGGCGGTGACGCAGCGCTACCTCAACGCGGCTTTTAACGATTAACCTCGAGGGGCTGTTGGCAGGCCACATTAGAGTCCAGATCCCACCTCTGTGGAAGTCTCAGCCCTGGTCTTAATGGGGGTTGTGGCGCAGAAGAGTAAAGCGCTCCCTCCAGACCTGCCCCTCAGATCTCCCTTACAGGATCGTTCAGCGGGCAGGCACCAGCACACCTCAGAACAGCGCGGCGCTTTGAGGCAGAAAGCAAGAAGGAAACCACATCTACCTGGGAGAGCAGCGCAGCCCGGGGACCACCCGGCCGGCTCCCTGCCAGCGCCGCCGCGAGAGCCCTAACCCAGCCCCGCTTCCAAAACGTCCCAGCAGCGCTCAGCCCTCCCGGTAGGCGCTGACACCGGGGCCTCGGCCAACGCTGCGGAAAGCAAGCGCGTGCCCGACACCCTTCCCTCTGCAAACGAGTTAATACTGATCCAGCTTAGCGATGCTGAGCTCGTGAAAGCTGTCAAGGCCACAGCACAGCATTTGTCAGGCGAGAGAGCTCGGTGTATCGGTAGCTTTCTCTTGCCACACCGCTGTGCCAAATCCCCAGAAACGGTCTCTGTCGCCCTGCTGGGGACACGGTGAAGGAGAGGAGAGGGACAGCGCTGGGGCAGTTTGGTACCCCGCTCCTTGCTTCAGGCAAGGCAGCAAACGAGGCAAAGAGCAGAGAGTTGAAGGCTGCAAGGGAGGACACCCGGGGAGACGGCAGCTGGCAGTAACACGAAGGTGCAAAACATACCACGAGAAAGACTTCACATGCTCCTGAATCATTATCCACGTCCGGCCAAAATCATCCGATTTCCAGAGCTGCAATTAAAAAGATCAGAGAAACCAGTGGGACTTGCGTCCTGCAGCCAGGCAGGCCTCAGTTATTTGCAAAGCTTGTACAGCCCAAAAGACAGGCTCCTCTAAGGCAAAGCTCGGCAGCAGAGGCAGGCTGGCGGCGCGTGTACTGCAAAACCGCGCGCTACTTCCACGACGCCTCTTCCCACGGCAGCTGCCTGCAGCAACAGCACAGCAGCTCCCTTCCCAGCCGCAGGAGACCAGCACGAACGGGGGACGCTCGCCCTTCAGGCTCCTGCCAGAAGGATTTCCCCCCCGTCTGTCGAGCCACCCGGTTTTACACTAACTTGGAAACAGAAATCACTTTTTCTCCTGTACTCGTGGAGCACAAGAGCACGGGTAAGGTCGGAGCCGGTTATAATGCCAAGCACAAAGGCACAGTGTTGTCGCAGGGCTGCAAACACGAGTAAGGCAAAGTTCACGAGGAGAGATAATAGCTTGTGTTGCGCCAACCAAAGTCGCAGGAAAAAGTACACAAGCCTGCAGGCACATCAGCCCTTCTCCAGGTCCCTTCTTCAGAGGACCTGCGTGCCCGCAAGCTGCCCTATTTGTCCCAAGCACCCTGTTGGCATCTGAGTTGCCATTTCTGCAGCTCATTTTTGCTGGCAGGCCCATGTGGCTGGCCAGACTCCGGCCACAACGTCCAATCTAACAGTCCGCTAAAAAAAGTAAAATACCGCTCCTGGCTCGCTCTGTCCCGGCCAGGAAGGCCCCACGCAGGCAGGCATAAAGCCTCCAAAGGTCATTCCTGCCACAGCTGGCCGTGCTCTGCTGCGAGCTACGACCGAACAGTCCGGGGGGATTGATACGGTCAGGACCAGCGCGCCTGACATGACGGAAAAGGGAGAGGGGACTTCTAAAGCAGCGATCCTGCAGATATAATATTCCTGGCTGCACAAGAGGTCAGAAAACAGACTGCCCTATGCGAGTGAGAGGCCCTGGCCAGTTTGGGATAGGTCTGCACGCAGACCTGCAGAGAAACCCCCTACGGCAGCGGGTGGCTAGCAAAGCACAAACCCACAGGACCTTCCAGGGCAAGCAGCGTGGCCCTTGGCACCCCGTGCAGGAGCAGGCAACACCTCCGGGGTAACGCGGCACCAGGAGAAAGCCAGCGCTTGAACACCACAGCCATCGCCGCCTTCCGGAAAGGGTACGGCTGGCAAAGCCCTCACAGGCAAAGGGCAGAGCATCGCCCCACCGGCTCCGGACGGGAATGCCAGCCACAGCAGCAGGCGCCGGCGCAGCCCTGCCGTCCACTGAGCCGTGCTCACCTGCTTGTTGGGATGCGACCTGTCGAAGCCCAGAACCAGGTTGGGGCTCCGGCTGTGCAAGAGCAGGTCGGCCGCTCTGAAGGGAATGGAGAAGCCCTGAACAGTGTTGCAGAAGTCGGTGGTGATCCAGAGGTACGGGACGAAGGCGTCCACGAAGATATACTGGGAAGAGAGGGAATGACAGGACATCAGAGCAGAACTCAGTCTAGCAGGCGACTAAGGAAGACACGAGCCCTCGGGGAGCATCTGGGAGGGAAAACCGCGGAGGGCAGGAATCTGCCGCACGCCCTGTTGCTTTGGCCCGGCTTTAGGGAGGGGGGTTTCCACAAAGGGCAGAGTGACAGCTTCGGCCGCTTCAGCTAGAGGATTTCCCACCTCTCCTTAGGAAGGGCTAAGCGAGGAGAGAGGTGTCCTTTGTGTAGCTAAAGCTTAAAGAAATATTTTTCTCTGTAGCCCTGGACTGACACTAGTGAATGAGCATGCAGCTCGCTCCTCATGTAGCTATATCAGTGCAAGGATGCTACAGGTGCCATTATAATACCTTTGTACTTATTCCTTTCACACCGAAGACCGCGTGGTCGCTGCGGTGTAATGGCATTTGCTCCAAGAGCACGGCTGCAGCAGCACGGCTGCTGCCGACGAGCCTCCTCGGGCCCGTTCTCCTCTCACCCTCCTGTTGTCCGCCGGGCTGTGGTAGAACTGCGCGATGGCCACCTCGCTCGTGTTCCCGCTGCCGAAGCCGAACCTCTCCGAAATCTTTTTAAAACTCTTCCCGTAGTCATAGGACACGTAAACCTGCAAAGGAGCAGTTGCAGCATGAGGAGCACAAAGGGCTGGTTTCTGTGCATGCTGGAGACGGTTAAAAAAAGGGAGCTACTCCATAAAAGGAAAAGATCAGGAGATGCTACAACACACAAGGCTCCTACATCGTCCACCGACTGCAGAGCAGAAGACCAAGTGATAAAAGCCTAAGGCAATACTGGGCAAAGGCAGGGACAAGCCACTGTTACGCAGTCTCTACCCAGTTAGGAGAAGAGGAAATCAGCGGCTCTCTTCCTGTCCCCGGGCAGAACCAAAGCAAACACGGAAACGCATGCAAACAGCACATATATGCAAACATTTGTCCTATACCTCAGGTGCCAGGGAAGGACCCAGCGAGCTTCGCCCCAGGAGGCTTTGGGCGCAGTCTTGCCCACGGCAGCGGTACTAGCATTTGCGCTAGTGACTGCACAGGGCTGCAGGTTTGTCCGGGAGCCGAAGCACCGCAAAGCACTTGCTGGCTGCCTGGGATGGACTTTGCACCTATCTTGTGCAGGCAGCATCCCCGGCAAGGGTACGACACGTCTCAGCTGCAGGCAGCAGTTCACAGACCGCGTTTCCTATTTTTTTAGGGGAACCTGTTGCACCTGACCCAAGCCTGAAACGGCAGGAGGTATCCCCGTGCTGCGACGGTCCGCGTGAACGCTTTGCAAAGGGTCTCAGCTGGCTTCCTTCTGGGCAGGTGTCCACCCGCCAGCAACCCCAGCGCCCGGCGCTCTCGGCCGGCTCTCCCCGGCAGCCGCCCCCC